GAAACAAAAACGCCGTTCTAGGCAAGACATTCATTTTTATCACAGAAATTCTCCCCAGCAATGACAGTTGTAGTTTCTCCCATCTTAACATGTCTTTTTTAACTCCATTCCATGTCTTAACATAATTATTTTGAAATAACATACAGTTCATATTTGTCATAATAATACCCAGATATTTTTCCTTCTTCTCAATCTTAAAATCTGTTTTATTCATCAATTCTGTTTGATCTTCTGTTTTCATATTTTTGTTAACATCTTCGTCTTCTATTTACTAATCTTGAAAGCTGCTAATGCACTAAATTCTTTTAATTTGTCCATTAATATTTATAATATAATATCAGTGGAAGAAATGTATCTCCAAAGCTCAGTGCAGCATTATGGGCTTAATTATTTCTTTATTACAACAACCTTGTGAAGGCAGGCAATGCCAAAAAAAAAGAAAAAAAAAAGCAGCTACCCAGAGAAATCCCTTCACAATAGGGAAGGGATTTAAATTTCATGTACATCCAGTTCAATTCCAGCACAGGCCAGCATATTCACTCTGTGACTTTGAAACATCAGAACATTCTTCGAATAGCCTTCTGGCTTATCCATTAAGTCTTTCACAAACTGTAGATGGGCAGCAATGTTCTTTTTGGAGAGTAGTGCCTTTCTTCTTGCAACCCTCCTAAGTACACCACTGTTGTTCAGGGTTCTCCTGATGGCAGTCTCATGAACGTTGACATTCACCACTGCAAGAGAGGACTTCAAGTCAAATCAAATCAAATATCTTTATTACGGTCTTTGATCAGCCTTGCAAGAGAGGCCTTTCGTTCCTTAGATGTTACCCTGGGGTTCTTTGAAGCCTCCCGTAGTATTACACACCTTGCTCTTAGTGTGATCTTGGTTGGTCAGCCATTCCTGGGGAGGGTAACAATGGTGTTGAATTATTTCCCTTTGTACACAATCTGTCTGACAGTGGAATGGTAGAGTCCAAACTCTTTGGAAAAAGTTTTGTAACTTTTTCCAACCTGTTGAGTATCAACAACTGTTTTTCTGAGGTCCTCAGAAATCTCCTTTGTTCAAACCATGACACATTTCTACATACCTGTGTTGTGAAGATCAGACTTTGATAGTGAATACCTAGAATTCTGTTCTTTAAATAAGACAGAATCTCCCATACTCACACCTGATTATCATCCCATTGATTGAAACACCTGACTAATTTCCCCTTCAAATGAACTGATAATCCTCGAGGTTCACATACTTTTGCAGGATACAAAGATGTAGCTGTGGATCATTTTCCTCAATAAATCAATGAACAAGTATAATGTTTTTGACTCATTTGTTTAACTGGGTTCTCTTGATCTAGTTTTAGGACTTGTGTGGTGAACAGACCATGTTTTAGGTCATATTTATGCAGAAATATTGAAAATTCACAAGGCTTCACAAGCTTTTAAGCACCACTATATGTTATACTTCCGTGGATTTTTCCTCCTCCTGTTTGCCTTCATAGGAAGGCTCAGTAAAAATCTATTCAATGTAAGCTTTATTTTCAATATTTCATACAAAAGTAAAGATGCAATCAAGTCCAAGTTGACTCCTGGTGGGTTACACCCTACAGTGTTCTTGGTAGCATTATGGAAGTTAAAGAAGAACTACCTTCAGGTCAATCCTAGATAGAAAGTACCAATGAAGAGGAATCATTAGAAGTCCACCATAGGCAATGTAAGATGGTTCTGTTTGTCTTAACCAGCTTAAGTCCACTGGTGCCAACTTGATAAAGATACAATGAGCTCATGTTTTGATGCAGTTGGCCCCTATTCCATCTCTAGCAATTTCATCCTGGTACCTCAGAGAACATAGCTGGATAAGACTACAAATTTTAAAAATGCTATTTATCTAGCCTGGATGAAAATATGACAATGCAAGGAGGAAAAAAAAATAAAAATCATACAGATGAATTGACAACTGAGAATAGCAAAATGTTTGGTTTCACATTCTTCTTTTTAATGATTTGTGCAAAATACCTAAGACTATTATTTAGCAGAGGAGACTGATTTTATGGTGGGGCTCTAGTGATTCCTCTTCATTGGTACTTTCTATCTAGGATTGACCTGAAGGTGGTTCTTCTTTAACTCCCTGTTTTAATCTGCTATAAAAGAAATGCATTTTCTTTCACATTTTAGTCTACCTGCTAAAACGTCATCATTTATTCTTGTTGAAATATTAAGAAGTGCACAGAAAAGCTAGATGTGCCTTTGAATTACTTCTGTTTCTCAACCTTAGAATCTTGATCTGTAAAATGGCATAAGGTTATACTGTTTCACATTCAATTCTGTGGAGATGTTATTAGCCACAGAGTTAACAATCTTGTAGGCATTGTGTTTGAAAAGGAGTGCATTTCTAGGCTCAACATTAACCTGCTCATCAAAAAAAGCTTTTGCTGGGAAAAGAATTAGCTGCTATGCAGACTTGAACATATTCATTTCAGCTTGACAGTGGTGGATCTACATGCAATAGAATACTTTTTCTTTTTAACATTTTCCCCTAAACTTTACTGGATAACCACACTTCTTTCTGATTCTTTTAAGTTGCCCCAGCTTCTTCTTGGCTGAAATTTAACAGGATTAGCAAAAGTAAGAAAGTTTAATATCACCCCCAAACTAGTGATTGTTGTTGTTGTTGTTGTTGTTGTTTACACCAGTGGAATGTTTTAAACCAAAATTCTTCACAAGTATATCAGACTTGAACTGTCAGCCTGCTCTGAAGAATATGAGTTCTATGTCTGAGAGGTTCTTCCCACTCTGTTTAGCTAACCTTTGAACTCACATTGATTGCTCTGTAGACCTTAGCTAAGAGGCTGACTTACAGATGAGAAAGCCTTTAGGATTAATTCCATCACCATAAACTCACTGGCCAGCCTTAAGTAAGTCAGTCTTTCAGTTTCAGGTTTATCTTCAATATTTGATATTAACAATGACATAAACTTAATGTATGTTAAACCTTGTGCACACTTGAAAATTCCACGCAGATGGTAATGGTGGTTGTTCCAAGATGGGAAAGAGAAACAGATGGAGAGATAGGAGACATACTGATAATTCATTGTACATAAAGGCCTAATACAGTGCTCTTGCATTTCGCCAAAGGGGAAGATAGATCTTTTTTCAGTGTAGTTGGAAATTCTTCTAAAAATACAGTGGCAGCACTTCATTTTTATAAGATGGAATTTATTATGATTGCTATAACATGTCAGTAGCCATTTAGAACTTTGAAATCTATGCCTAGAAATGCTATTTCCTATGAAGACTTGTATCAAAATAAATGGTACTGGAATTACATAATTTCTTGGTAGTGTATTTTTAAATGTTGACCCTGATTCAAGTCAGCCTTGGCCATGGAAGTTCAATGAATGACTTCAGGTTAATTGTTCTCTCTCAGTCCAATTTAACCCACAAAGTTGCTGTTGTACAAAATAAATTTGAGGAGGGAATGTTGTGTATGGTGCCTTGAGCTCCTGAAGGAAATAAAGAAACAAATTTGTTAGAAATCTAACATAATAAATTCTCTATCCATTTTGTGCAGGTAAATACCAGCTTTCTCCAACAGTCAATATGCCCCAGGATGATATGGTAATTATAGAAGATGATAGACTGCCTATATTACCTCCACATCTTTCAGACCAATCATCTTCCAGTTCTCATGATGATGTAGGCTTTGCAACAGTGGATGCTGGAGCTTGGACTAAACCAATAGCGAATGAGTCCTCAGAATGGTAAATGTTATGTCTACTTGAATAGTTACTTCTGTTTACTAAATACTTAATGGGCTTTCATCACTGAAATAGAAGCAGAACTATTCTTCTAAACAATATTCCTATCTCATGTCCCTCTCAAGATATCTAAGAACTTGACTGGTGACAGCAAACTTCACATTATCACAGCATAGGATCTCGGTATCAGCATTTTGGAGTGGGGACAGCAATGATTGCTTGGGCTTTGTTATCTTACACAGGAAAAATACTCCTGATTTTTTAAGTCTTTTTGTTTTTGTTTTTTACACAATCTTTACTAATCCCAGAGAACAACAATAATTTGTATGTCTGGTAATTATGTTCAGCAATAAGCAAAATAAGAGACCTTTCTGTGGAACCCCCTGCTAAGCTCATGGTGATAATTAACACAAGCCGGTTGAAGTATGAGTGTTTTCCAAGTCTCATATCCTCCTGAGTTTGATATAACTGTGTCAGCAATATCTTAATAACTATTACCCACAGCAAGAATCTCTGTTTGGATTTGCACAAGTCAGCTATTCCTTACACACACATATATGTAGCAGTGTGTACTGGTATTCAGCCATATTACTTTTACTGTTACTCTATCTTTTAAAAAGCTTTCAGTTGTTACATTTAAAGCCACTTCTTTCTCCATTACATTGCTTTTCTCTATCACATTGAACAGCTGCTACTTTGACTCCTAGACTCCCACCATCGTCTTCCTAGAGCAAAATACCCTGAAAACTCACTAACTGAAATTTTGGAAATGTGTCTATGCATTCAACAGCACTCCAAACTCCATGCTGATGTAAATTTTTCAAGTTGAAAGCAGTTCTTGTACCATCTCCATTTGTTGATGTTTTTATATGCATAACTATAGAATTTTATTTTACTTCTGTAGAAGTAAAATAAAATTCTATAGCTCTATATCTCTATAGTTCTATATCTCTTTTCTATAAAGAGAAAAAGAAAAAGAGAGAATGAAAGGTTTTAAAGGCTCACTTTTTTCCTACCACTGCCTTTATGTCTGCCTTTTCAAAGAGAGTAATGTAATTACAAACAGGACAGATCTGTTTGGACCCTTATTTCTGTTGACTGCATTCTATTTGTTAAAAGTGAAGCTAGTAAAATAAAATAAACAGCAGCCAAGGGTGGATTTTTGTATTAATTTCCTGCTGGTAATGGACAAAGGAAGGATTGTAAAATGAAGGTGTTTCCTGCAAGTTTGCTTCAAGGCACCAAAGGGTTGATGTAAAGAAAATGGAAGAAGGGTTATCCAAACAAGAATGGCAGCTGTTCTGAATCATGGCTGAAAATATATGCTTTTTCCAGCCTGACAGTATCTCCCTAATCCTTGATGAAAATGTTATGAAAACAAAGGACAATGAGGCAGGATTAATATGTGGAATTTTAATAACACTGAGGGTCATAACACGGTTACATTCTTTAAAGAGTCAACTATCATTGTAGGAGCCTTCTTTGTTATAGTATATTTTGCTGCCTATTGGTTTTACAAATTACAATAATAATAGATAGAAAGTAACATTAACATCAATCTGAAATATTAAGAACCATTAATGTGAGATGCTGTTCAGCTTTACTGAGTTATTTCTTTTCATTCTTTTTGAGTTTTACGACAGGTTGTTAACATTTTGGAAATGTCTTAATAAAATGCAACATAGTGCATTTTGTACACTTTCAGTAAATCCTGAGAATGACATTTAACAAATATTCAGTCCACCTCTATATGATTATTTTTTCTAGGGAAGCCAGCCTGGCAGGAGCAGAGTATTTTTTGAAAATAGGCAGAACGGTTCTTTAAGAAAATCTGTTTTCTTTGTCCTTATTACACTCCAGTTAGAAAATTAGTGTACTGGGTGCACTAGCAAAAGCTAGTAAGATGATTGATTGATTGATTGATTGATTCATTTATTGAATGAAATGATTTATACCCCGATAATCTATCTTGATGGTTTAATCCTTTTTTAGTGAGTTATCCTCTTTAACATAAGGTTATATGTTTATTTTGTTATTTCTTTTTTTTCCTTTATGATGGTTTTAACTATAGTATGTAAGCTGCCTAGAGTTATGTTGTTGATTGAAGTTGTAAACAAACAAATAAATAAATGGCATTACTAGCCATTACTACTGCTTGAGAATCCCCTCTATCTTCAGTGGGATGTAGCTCAATTCCAAACAAGATTGAACAACTACTCTCTGATCATCTGATTGACAATGCTCAACAGAGTTTGATTTGAATTAAATTTAAACTGTTACGGAGTTTGATGCAACTTAAGCTAAAATGTGAAATTTGCTTCTTTAAAAAGCTGGATATATCTTGTTAGAATTAGAACAGGTATTAGGTTCCCATAAAATATTCAGCATTATATCAATTCCTCCTAAACATTGCTAAGTGACAAACTCCATCATGGCTACCCATTGGCTATACTAGCTAAAGCTGATAGGAATTGCAGTTCAACAATGTCTGGAAGGCTATATGTGATCTGTCCCTGCTACAAAGGGCAAAACACATCTTACACTGATATCTGCTTCCCAGTTCGGGAACAAAGCACCATCCAATGAATCAGCTCAGATTGAGAGCTTATATATTTCTGGCAGACCTTAATCTACATAGGAGAATCATTCTTTTCCTGTATGGACACCTGATCTGAAGTTTTTATGTAGTTTGTTGGCTCTTTTGTTCTTGTGGCCCTGGAAGTGATAAGGACATCTAAGAACCAGGCATACCACATGGACGTTTCCAGATGTATAGGTCAATGTGAGAGTTTCAGACTGAAGAGACTGAATTTTGAATTTCTATTCCATTATTCACATGTATTATCTTTAGTCTGCCTTTCAGCATAAAAATATTAAAATTTTCCAAGGCAGTTTAGGGATATAAATTAATCTTTCAGAACAAAAAAAGCCCCAACCCTCATGATTTCCAACTTTTCTTAATTGTATTGGTAAGCTAATGGTATAACATAAATATATGCTTTAGTGAACTTTTCTTTATATTTCTTTATTTCTTACAGCATACTAAGTCCAGATATGGATCCAGGGCTGGCCTTCCAACGGGAAGGATTTGGACGCCAGAGTATGTCAGAAAAGCGCACTAAGCAGTTTTCAGATGCCAGCCAATTAGATATTGTTAAAACACGGAAATCTAAAAGCATGGATTTAGGTATTGCTCGTAGGCCTTCTTTTCTTTTCTCTTCTTTTTTCACTGTTGTGTTTCAACATTATATTGAAATTATTTTGCTTGTTGTTTCCTGTTGCCATTTAAATTATTTGTAATGCTATGCAGTTGATTATCCCATGCATATGGATTCAATATGTGCATGAAGAATTTTAAATACGATCAGAGCCAAGTGCATTATGTGTGCTTCTACAAGTTTAATGTTTCTCTGTTTAAAATGTTATGGTTGCACAGATTCAGGTGTTGCAGGATTGTTCAGTATATAGCTACAAACAACCCTTTGAATAGGTAGTTTTCAGGACATGGAAAACTCAAATAATTCAAATTTGTTTTTTAAAATAATTCTGCAACAACACACTTCTCATTGTTTCTGGTATTGCTGAAACCTTTTCTCTAATGAACGATTCTAACATAATTCTACGAAGCTTTAGTTTAATCTGAAATCATTTAACAGCTGGGATCTTTAGTCCCATTACTTTTAATGACATCTGTTGCTAAAGGCGGTAGGGATTGACACAGGCACTTCAGGGATAGTGGACTTGGTTGAAAGAGTAACCTGCAATGACAAGTGCACATGCAAGTGGGAAATCTAACTATGGGACATCTCTCTTTCAACTTTGCAAGTGATAGAAAGCCTTCCAATTTGCATGGCTGATGTAAAAGGTCGGAATGTGGTCAGTGGGGCAGAATCATCTGCTTGTGACATTGCTCATTGGTCTAGCCATTCTTCAGTTTAGTCTCAGGTGTAGTTCCAGCAAAAGACAGAGGTAGCTTTGAATTATATTGAGGTAGTGTGAAGAAGGGAGGCATGGCAGAATTCTGTCTATTGATTTACAGTCTCAATCTGGCTTAGACACTTCCTTCTAAAGAATTATAAGAAAGAGAATCTATTATATCTGAAAGAGTGAAAAGGCTACAGATCCCTACAAACCAAAACATTTACTGTGGCCAAGGTTTTCATTGAAATGTATCCTGCTTTATCAGAAAAGGCTAATGAGAAAAGTTCAGAAATTACAAGTGTCAGCTATCAGTAGATCAGATTACTGTGTAGAACATACATGTAAGAACCTTTTCCATGTCTGTCTATAGTGTGCTGTGACCATTTTAAAGTGTCACAGGATCTTAATGGAAAAATCTGGCCTACAGTGTCTCTTATTTTAAAGAAGTTGTTCAGATTAGTGCATCTCCTTTTTCTGAAATAGAATACTATTTAGTCAGCAACATAATTGACAAGTTTTCACTTAATAGTTAGCAGTTAGTTATACATGATGGGGATGAACTGTTTTTAAGGAAAGGGTCTCCTGGAATCTTAGTGATTGGTATTCACAGAAAATTGCTACACCCATCTTATTAGTATAATATATGAATTCTCAATAAGTTCATTATTCTGAGAGCAGTAACTAACCTTGAAATCCTACAGGTCCATATCTCAGGGATAATGCTGAATGAAAGCAAGCTACAGTAAATCTAGTATCCCATTTAATAATTCAGATTAAGCCTTTCTAACCAAGCCTTTTTACATATCCCTTCGGAAGATTCATGAGCTTCAATATGTTTTTTTAAGTGCAAGAAAATGTAATAAATATGTAGACATTTATTGTTTTTATAACCCCACTGGGACTTTTAAAACTCAAATTGCCACTTTCTGATATGTGGTGGTCTTGCCTCAGCTAATTGAGACATGCTAGCATGTGAATAACACATTATATTTGCCTGTGATCCAGAAATGACTGACACCAACGCATGGATTTTCCTAAATATTTTTCTCTGGGGCTTCATTTTGCCCCTTAAGAGTGTCTGCATAATATGACATCTTTGCATGAGTAGTGATATTGGCAAGGTCCTCTAACTTTGAAGAGCATATAAATAGTGGATGCATGAGGGACGTGGGCACTAACAAGGCTAACCGTTATACATTTACCTTTTAACAGTAGCTGACGAGACTAAGCTCAGTACAATGGATGACCAGAAAACAGGTAAGAATTGACTGTAGGGTGGTTGCCATAGAAATTTTGGTCAGCAGCTTACTACAATTACTGAGCTGCCAATCACAGTGCATGAGAAAATAATATGTCAGTTGCATGACTCTCTTCTTTAATCTCCCAGAATTCAAATATTACAAACATTCTAATTAAATTATGTTTTAGAACAACAACAAGGATAAGACAATTACATATAGCAGTTGAGTCTAGCAACTAAATATACTTCTTAAAAGATAATATTCTGGAGAGCATTTGGGGGTCATATGTCATTGGAGTTCAGACTTGGCTTATGAAAGGCACTCCTCATGTTAAACTTTTGAAATACACTTTTAACCACAAAATCCTATCATTCTTGAAAATTCTTTAATCAAGCTTCCATTTCACCACTGAGTAGGCAGTAATGAGGGTTGCTGTTTTCACTGTTCATCCTGGCATCTCCTTGCCTTGTAAGGAATTAGAACAACCCCCTCCCCCTAATTAAACTGTGTTTCACAAGCTATGCATTGTAGATATTTTGCTTTCTGTGTAATTGTCATGATTCCAGATTAGAAAGCTTGAATTTATTAGCAATTAAAATAATGCACCACTACAGTTATGAACCTTTATAATTTATTAATGCAAGTAAACTTTTGACTTATAGAATGTTGTCTTAATTAGGATAGATCAAGAGGACACAGTAACTTTCCATACCAGAGAAACTATTTTAATTATGGACAAGTCAACTTAGAATCATGAAAACATTACTTATTTCTAACATTAATCATTGAACAGGATATTCCTTGCATACTGGGTTTTTTAATCTCTCTCTCTCTGTGCGTGTGTGTACGCATGTGCGCGTACATGTTGGTAAATAACAGAGAACCTATTTTTACCCATGATGTCATGTGGTAAAGCCTTACTAATCAAATAAAAAAAATTATTTAAAAGAAGTAGTAAAAATTCAAGCCTTTATAAAACACTGCAAAGCAAGGTGAATATGTGAATAAGGGAGATTTTACAGCCTTGTCTGTCTACATTATACAATGATAATTCTACAGTACAGCATTATTAAAGCATTGAAAGTTTAAATGTCCATGATGATATGCTGTTGGCTGAACTCTGCCAATATGACTGTTTTCTGAACTGATAGGCATGAATCCAAGTGATGAACTGCCAGTATAAGAAAAATATTGTTTCCATTTTTTCTTGATTCTGTATATTTCTGCTGTATTTTTGCCTGAAAAGGTATTACCAACTTTTGGTTAATAACCTGAAGTTCTAGTTTTACCACAGTGTGCTTGGTTGTATAATATATCAAATACTTGACGTGGTTACACTTTAAGCTTCTTTTTGTAATTTCTCTTTTATGCCACATATTTGTGATTAGATTTGGGTTTTTTTTTCAAACATCACAAAGCATACTCAAACAGCTGATTTGAATCATTTACTACAGTCCATAACCAGCATAGAAACTGCCATAATAATCATGCATCCCATTCCTTCCTACTAGCCCTTCCTTGCTTCACATTTTTATAGCCTTCCATTTGGATCTGTTTTCCCAAAGCATCCTAAGAACACAGTGATCAAACATTCAATAATTTCCTTTTTAATTCTGTTTACTGTTCTCTTACTTATAGCAATTAGAGTCAAGTGCATTGCCCTTGAGTTCAGGCTATTATTGCTTATTTAATAAGTATTGTAGGGAACTGGCCATTTACTTTTAGAGGGCACAAATTTTATTATTTTATTTCTGAGAATACAAGCATATTGCATTGTTCAAGTCTTTGTTAACATCCATGGAGATACATTTGGGTTAAAGGGCAATGACCCTAAGTCATAAACTACCAGGGCTAAGCAAGATAAATATCTGAATCATCATCATCATCATCCCCCAGTGAGACATTACCTTGACGTGGTTGTGGGATTTGCATGCTATGAGGAGGATGAGAGCTATGCCAGAGGTTCAACCATACTGGACAGGACGAAGAATGTCTCTCCCATAAATAATATGGTGAAATGTAATTTACAGAAACCCATACCAGATCAGTCATTGCCCAGGTCAACAAGGACTGTGCTAGGTGTTCTAGTTCCTGGACATCTGCTGATAAGTGGGCTGCAGGACTCAGGACTGTTGGCTGAGCAACCAGGGCCAGTAGCTGCAGAACTACTGGAATAAAAGTTGTTAACCCATCACAAATACAGTGGGGCAAAAAAGTATTTAGTCAGCCACCAATTGTGCAAGTTCTCCCACTTAAAAAGATGAGAGAGGCCTGTAATTTTCATCATAGGTATACCTCAACTATGAGAGACAAAATGGGGGA